GGCCCTGATCTCTTTTTTTAAATGCCAGTAGGACTCCCTTAGTCATTGAGAAAAATAAAACACCCTCACACATTGCTACTCACTCTAGGGAGGTGGGGGGAGATACCACACACTCATGAGAACAACTGGATGAGATTATTGATAAGAAGTCTTTCAGATCTGGGGTTCTAGGAGTCTGTCATTTTCTTATTTCTTAATATTTAATGAGCTTTGCTAGGCTCACTGAGTTTTTAAAATATATTTTCAAAAAGATACATGTGCTTCCAGCTTCTGGTAATAGAGAAATAGCTCTTTTCAGACGAATTCATCTGTGGATAACTACTACACTCTGGATAAAATAGAAGCAACCTTAAGATACTGGAGAGAAATCAAAAGCAGGCAGATATTGGACACCTGTGTATATTTGGAAGAAGGAATTGTCACCAGATAAATTTTCTGGTTTTTACAGCTTTTTGCCTGGGAGTAGGCCACAGTCAGCACCAACAGAATGATCAAAACTTGGTCACAAACTTGCAGTCTTACTGGTGTGAAGAACCACAAGATAGAGTTTGAGGCAAACTTAGCAGTTGGAAAGTGAGAGGAGGAATCTTGGAAAGGAGAGAGGCAGAGAAGGGAAGCCCCAAATTCTGTGCACAAACTGTGCCCAAATCTCTAGCTGACCCCTGAACCATACATGCATAGGACAGACTCAAAGTAGCCCAAATAAGAACTGAACAAAGATATTTGATGCTGCCTGCTAGAGAGGTGGCAGAGTTTGGAATTTGACTCCAACTAATTTAACTACCTGCTTAAAAAACTCAGTACTCTTCAAAGGAACATAGCAAAATCCAGTTTCTACACATTGTGTACTATACAATTTCCAGGGTAAGGTAGGCATATGAAGAAATGGGAAAGTGCAACCAAAACTCAAGAGGAAGACAATCAGTAGAGACAATGACCTGGATGACCCAGATATTAGAATTCACAAAGAGTTTAAAACAACTATTATAATTGTGCTCAAGGACTTAAAGGAAAATATACATGTAAAGAATGAACTAATAGGAAATGCAAGCAGAGAAATAGAGATTGTGAAAAAAGTAATTCTAGACTATGAAATTTTAAAACTGAAAGGTCAGATACCTGAAATTGTAAAAAAAAAAAAAAAAAAAATTAGTGAATAGGCTTAACTTTTGGAAATGAACATAAGTAGAAGTCAATGACAGTTGAAGATAGACAGAAATTATCCTATCTGAAAAACAGGGAGAAAAAAAAGCCTCAGTTACCAATTAAATGATATTAAAAGGTCTAATATATATGAAGTTAGAGTTCTAGAAGGAGAGGGACAGAGAATGGGACAAACTATATTAAAAGGAAATAATGGCCTAAAATTTATCAAATTTGGTAAAAAATGTAATTTTACAGATTTATAACATTTGATGAATCTCAACCTGGATAAATACAAAGGAGGTCACAGCTATACATATCATTGATCAATGATATGCAATAGAAATATAGTGTGAACCAAGAATGAAAGCCACATACCTAATATAAAATTTTCCACCAGCCACATTAAAAAAGTAAACAGAAGCAAATAAATTAACTTTAATAATGTATTTTCTTTGACCCAGTATGTCCAAATATTATTTCCACATGAAATCAATATAAAATTGTTATTGAGATAACTTGCATGTATGTTTGTGTGTGTATGTATATGTTGGTATGTGTGTGTATATATGTTTTTAAGTAAATCATCTGGTATGTATTTTATACAGATAACATCTCAATTCAGAAGAGCCACATTTCATGTATTTAGTAGCCACGTATAGCTAGCTGGTCTCTACCATATTAGGGAAAGTCATAGAGAAATCACAGAAACCAAAGATTTGAAAGCAGGCTGAAAAAAACTGTACTACATGCAGAGAATCAATATTTGAATGACCATTGGCTTCTCATCAGAAACGACAAAGACCTGAAGCAATAGAATGACATTTTACATGCTGAAAGAGAGAGAGAGAGAAAAAAACCAACCCCGAATTCTATATCCAATGAAAATACTCTTCAAGAATCAAGATGAAATAAAGGCATTTTCAGGCAAAATAAAATTAAGCTAATTCATTGCCAGCAGGCCTGTACTATAAGATATACTAAAAAGGAAGTTATGTAAGTTAAAAGAAAAATATACCAGAGGGGAACTCTGATTTTAGGAAGAATGAAGAGCATTAGAAATGGTAGCTATCTGGATAAATATAAAATACTTTTTTTTCCCTCTCGATTTCTTTAAAATGCAGCTGACTGCTTAAAGCAAAATAATACTATTGTATTCTAGGAGGGAGTTTATAATGTAGGCAGTTATAATGTAAATAACCATGAAGATAGAATTTATTTAACATCTGAACTGGAAAAGCTCTATCTTTGTATCTGGAAAAGCTCTATATTTTTCTCTGGAAATTCTTGGATGTCTATTTTTTTGACTCTTGGCCAAAACAAGATAAAGGCAGCTTTTTTTTTTTTTTTTTTTTTTTGAGACAGAGTCTCGCTCTGTTGCCCAGGCTGGAGTGAAGTGGTGTGATCTTGCCTCACTGCAGCTTCCCTGGGTTCAAACAATTCTCATGTCTCAGCCTCCTGAGTAGCTGGGACTACAGGTGCATGCAACACGCCTGGCTAATTTTCTGTATTTTTAGTAGAGATGGGGTTTCACCATGTTGCCCAGGCTGGTCCTGAACTGCTGAGCTCAGGCAGTCCACCCACCTTGGCCTCCCAAAGTGCTAGGGTTACAGGTGTGAGCCACCGTGCCCAGCCATCAGCTTGTGTGAGTTTGTTGTTGTTTTGTTTTGTTTGTTTTTTCAGAAGGAGTTTTGCTCTGTCTCAAGTGATTCTCCTGCCTCAGCCTCCTGAGTAGCTGGGATTACAGGCATGCGCCACCACTCCTGGCTAATTTTTGTACTTTTCAGTAGAGACAAGGTCTTGAACTCCTGACCTCAGGCGATCCACCTGCCTTCACCTCCTGAAGTGCTGGGATTACAGGCATGCGCCACCACGCCCAGCTAATTTTTGTATTTTTGGTAGAGACGGGGTTTTGCCATGTTGGCCAGGAAGGTCTTGAACTCCTGACCTCAGGCGATCCACCTGCCTTCACCTCCCAAAGTGCTGGGATTACAGGCGTGAGCCACCATGCCCGGCCTGGCTTGTGTATTTTTAAGATCTCAATGCCAGTGGCTACTCCTGGTAAGCTTCCTTACTGATGGCTTCCGACTGGCCTAAAAGATTTGACAGGACTTGCTTGATTACATACAGTGCCCCTGCTGAGAGTTCCTCCTTTGAGCTCTCCAACACCAAGATTCTTCACACAGATCCAGAGTCATGGCATGGTCTGTGCAAATAAGGGAGGCTGCACATGGAGTGTCTCTTGGTTTTCTAGTGCTTCCCTGAACTCTCTCTCTTGCTGTGTTGTACCCTTTGCCTTTAAATAAAAACCTTAACATGAATATGCTCAGTGAAGTTTGGTGAGTGCCGTCGACTCTCTGAACTGGGAAAATCTTTGTAACAGCTATAGCATAAAGAAGAGTGGTGATGTCCTCTATACTTGCAATATTCTTGCATTCTATGTGAAACGATATATCAGCTCTAAATAGGTGATGAGTAACCAAAAATGTGTATTATAATTATTCAAGTAACCACTAAAAATACAAAGAGGTCTAACTAAAAAGTCAACATATAAATTAAAATAGGCCGGGTGTAGTGGCTCATGCCTGTAATTCCAACATTTTGGGAGGCTGAGGCTGGTGGGCCATGAGGTCAAGAGATCGAGACCATCCTGGCCAACACGGTGAAACCCCGTCTCTACTAAAAATACAAAAATTAGCTGGTGGCACATGCCTGTAGTCCCAGCTACTCAGGAGGCTGAGGCAGGAGAATTGCTTGAACCTGGGAGGCAGAGGTTGCAATGAGCTGAGATCGTGCCACTGCACTCTGGCCCGGTGACAGAGCGAGACTCTGTCTCAAAATACATATATATAAATATAGTAAAGTGGAATTTAAGAAAATTCAAAGCAAAGGAACACACAAACATACATACACACAATCTCCCAAAGTGTAAAAAACTGTAAGCCTAATGATAGGGTATAAAGTAATAAGTGAAAGATTGCTTTTCTGCCCCTCTCCACAAATACCAAAGAATAACGAGGGTGACAGCTTGTATTCTTCCAGATAGTTTTGCATGCATCATGTATGTATATACAGATGTAGAGTTTTTCAACAAATATAGATTCTTTTGTGGCTGGTTTTTTCATATGAATCAGTAATATATCAAGGTCAAATTCCAGTGTCATAGAGATCTACCTCATTCTATTTAATGGCTGCATAACATTTCATGGCATCAATATACTATAATTTGCTTCTCCATTCCCTTATTGATAGATATGTAGGTGGTCTTCAATTGTTCACATTGTATTTCTTTCTTACTGCTGCTATAACAAATTACCACAAATGCAGCATCTTAAAACAGCATAAATGTATTCTTTTACAGTTCTGGAAGTCAGAAGTCTGAATTCAGTTTTGCTGGCTTGAGATCAGGCTGTCGGCAGGGCTGGGTCCTTCTAGAGGCTCTCGGGAAAATCTGTTTCCTTGCCCTTTTCACCGTCTAGTGTTTCCCTGCAGCCCTTGGCTTGTGGCCCTTTCATCCATCTTCTAAGCATAGCACTCCACTCTCTGCTTCTGTCATCACATCACCTTCTCTTGAGAAAGATCCCAGGCTGGTATTTACACTCCTTGTTGGCAGGAACTTTGCCTGTCTTCCCCTCCTCCCACTGTGTGTGGCATGTGTCATTGTTCCCAGTGAGTACTCCATAAATACTTGTTTAACTAAATAAATAGCTAATGGATGGTTCCAAAAATTACATAAACAGTTGATGTGAAATAGTTAGAATCCTGGGGTTTTCTGTCCATCCCACTGTCACTTTCTTACCGTGTCTTCCGTTGAAGAAGACGGTCCTGGGTGAGCAGGAGTGCGTTTGCCATTACAGGAGTCCGTGACATTCAGGGATGTGGCCGTGTTCTTCAGCCAGGACGAGTGGTTGCACCTGGGCTCTGCCCAGAGAGCCTTGTACCGGGAGGTGATGCTGGAGAACTACAGCAGCCTGGTCTCACTGGGTAAGAATTTTTGCCTATGACGAAGAACCTGTTACAGGAACGCCTCACAGATCCATCTTTGGGGTTCCGAGCCTGTAGTTTTTCACCCTAGTGAGCCCCTCGGAAAGGTTGAATTGCTGTAGAGTTGAAAGTGTACATTCCTGTTGTGATGCCCTTCTTGCTGTTTGTTTCTCTACCCTCCACTCTCCCTCACATCCCACCGCCAATCAGATTTTCCTCCTTGGAGTAGGCCAGTGAGTAGATCCCAGTTTAGATTCTGAAAAACATATAGGGACCCCCCATCTTAGAGGCATTCATTGCCAGGGCCCTATAATGTTTCTGAATGGAGACCTTCCCCACCCATTGACAGCTCCAGTGCCCCTGAGAAGTGCTAGTGCTGCCTTGTCTGCCTCTCAGGCCTCGCGTCCTTTGCTGTGTCGGTTCAGAGTGAGTAGTATGTGAGTTCTTGGATTGCTCTTCATGCTATTTGTTCAAGCTTCCTTTCCTTCCTCATGAGCAGGGATTCCATTTTCAATGCCAAAGTTGATTCATCAGTTGCAACAAGGAGAAGATCCCTGCTTGGAGGAAAGAGAAGTCCCTTCAGACACCTGTGTAGGTAAGTGAGAGGCTGGGAAATGGGCACAAGAGAGTCTTCGTAGACACGTAGGTCACAAAGAGGCAGTTCTTGGGAAACTCTTGGAAATACTGAGTTCTACTGAGATGCTCAGGCAGTTGTATTTTGTTTGAGTTGTATAGGTTAAAGTACACACAATCACCTAATTGCAGTTATCTAATGTTAACCTATTTTCTGTCATGGATTGATGAAAGGAAATCAGGTTTCAACAGAGAGTAGTTTAGAGTCACCTCAAACTAAATCTTTTCACCCAGAATCAAAGCTGAGCTTGGGACTTGGACATATTTCAGGACTTTAAGACATATTGACTTCAAATCTCCTGCAGGTTTTCATTATTCTCAAGAGAGTCCTACAAAGAGAGTGAGCGCAGTCTTTTGGTTGCAGCTTGTTAGAAGAAATGAATATGTCTCCCTTTGTGATAAAATAAAAAGGGGAAAATACAAAGAAAGGCAATATGAAAAAACGGTTATTCTTCCAATCACCAGGGATAGATTGTTGCACAGGGGCAATTTACTCCATATTTTCCTCTTTTTTATAATGAGCATCTTAAACTTTAATCACATAGAATCCTCACAGTCATGCTGCAGGGCTGTTGTAATTTTCAAAACCTGAACGTCCCCCCACTCCTTTTTTTTTTTTTTTTGAGATGATTCTCTGTCACCCAGGCTGGAGTGCAGGGTGTGATCACAGCTCACTACTCTGTCACCCAGGCTGGAGTGCAGGGTGTGATCACAGCTCACTGCTCTGTCACCCAGGCTGGAGTGCAGGGTGTGATCACAGCTCACTGCTCTGTCACCGGCTGGAGTGCAGGGTGTGATCACAGCTCACTGCTCTGTCACCCAGGCTGGAGTGCAGTGGTGTGATCACAGCTCACTGCACTCTCTGCCTCCCAGGCTCAAGCGATCCTTTCACCTCAGCCTCCTGAGTAGCTGGGACCACAGGTGCGTGCTACCACACCTAGCTAATTTTTTGTATTTTTGGTAGAGATGGGGTTTCACCATGTTGTCCAGGCTGGTCTCGAACTCCTGAGCTCGGGTGATCCACCTGCCTCAGCCTCCCAAAGTGCTGAGATTACAGGTGTGAACCACCGTGCCTAGCCTTCCTCTTTTTAACAGACTGTTTCCCGCTTCGCAGACTATGATATAAAATCAGTTACATGAAATAAAGAAATTTAAGAAAACCAATCCAAATATTTAAAAAATTATTGGATATGGAGTTTCAAAGGGAACATGGGGAGATAATACAATGAAAGGGACATGTGAGTAAGAAGGAGAGAGAACATGGGGAGATAATACAATGAAAGGGACATGTGAGTAAGAAGGAGAAAGTAGGCTGCCTGCTTCATTGCCTGGTATATGCAGAGTGGAAAACGATGACAGAGTGGAGTATCCCATGGAATTCAACGTGGGCTTCTCATTTGGCATTTTTCTGTATCCTCATATCTTCTACCCAGCCTGTTCTTCTGCATCTAACTTTACTTTACCTGGGTGGAATCACTTCATTTTCATTGTTAGTTTGTCCTGTGTATTCTCCCATGCCATTCCTTAACCCATTCACCCCACTTTCCTTTATCCCATCCTGTTCTTCCCAAGATTCAGGTCAGCATTTGAAATCTGATTGTACACTCTGCTTTTACATATACTGTTACCAGTTTTATTGTCTCACTGATACGTCAGTTTGTTTCTTCCAGCAGAGGAGGCATTAATTCTTCTGATTCATTTTAGGTTTCAAGACTTGGCCTGAAACAGAAGCATTGCCTCATAGACAGGACGTTTTTGTAGAGGAAACATCTCAGGGAATGATAAAGGAAGAATCCATTAAGGATGGTCCCTGGGACCTTAACTCTGAAGAAGCTGTGGAATTTGAGAGCAGGATAGAAGAGGAGCAAGAGAAGAAACCTCTCAGGCAAATGATAGTCTCGCATGAGAAAACCATCAGTGAAGATGGAAACCATACGAGTCTTGAATTGGAGAAAAGCTTATTTATAAATACAGCTCTCATCGCACAACAGAGTGTTCCTATAGAAAGGATACCCAATATGTATTATACATTTGGGGAAGATTTTAAACAGAATTTTGATCTCATGAAATGCTTCCAAATTTACCCAGGAGGAAAACCTCACATCTGTAATGAATGTGGGAAGAGCTTCAAGCAGAATCTTCATCTTATTGAACATCAGAGAATTCATACAGGTGAGAAACCCTACAAATGTAACGAGTGTGAAAAAACCTTCAGCCACAGATCATCCCTTCTTTCTCATCAGAGAATTCATACTGGAGAGAAACCTTACAAGTGTAATGAGTGTGAGAAAGCATTTAGCAACAGTTCAACCCTTATCAAACATCTGAGAGTGCATACCGGAGAGAAACCGTATCGATGTAGGGAGTGTGGTAAAGCCTTTAGCCAGTGTTCAACCCTCACTGTACATCAGAGAATTCATACTGGAGAGAAACTCTATAAATGTGGTGAATGTGAGAAGGCCTTCAACTGCAGAGCAAAACTTCACAGGCATCAAAGAATCCATACAGGCGAGAAACCCTATAAATGTAGTGAGTGTGGGAAGGGTTACAGCCAGTTTACCTCTCTGGCTGAACATCAGAGGCTTCATACTGGAGAACAGCTGTATAAATGCCTGGAATGTGGGAGAACCTTCACACGTATTGCAACCCTTATTGAACATCAGCGCATTCACACTGGACAAAAACCTTATCAATGCAATGAATGTGAGAAAGCCTTCAACCAGTATTCATCCTTTAATGAACATCGGAAAATTCATACTGGGGAAAAACTTTATACATGTGAGGAATGTGGGAAAGCCTTTGGTTGCAAATCTAACCTTTATAGGCATCAGAGAATTCACACCGGAGAGAAGCCGTATCAGTGTAATCAGTGTGGAAAGGCGTTCAGCCAGTATTCATTTTTAACGGAACATGAGAGGATCCACACTGGGGAGAAACTGTATAAATGTATGGAATGTGGGAAAGCCTACAGTTACAGATCAAACCTTTGTAGACACAAAAAAGTTCACACTAAAGAGAAACTCTATAAATGGAAGGAATATGGGAAACCATTAATCTGCAGCTCCTCACTCACTCAGTATCAGAGATTTCTTAGAGGAGATAAGGCCTATGAGGCTTAGTTCATCTCTCAAATAATCCAGGACTTCTCACTGGGGAATAAGGAGAATAATCAATAGGGTACAAACTCCTAATAGATTTGTCTTTTTTACTTCTCCTGAAGGAAATATGTTAGTTACCACTAAGTAATGATAAAATTGATCAGTGAAATTATGAAGAGCACTGACTTGCTAAGTTTTAAAAGAACCATAAATTTGAAGGTTTCTAAAAACCTATGAATATTTAATTGATAGAAAAAATGTAAAAGGCCTAACTTTTAAAAAATCATGAAAAATAGTTAAATATACATTTTGTTTCTCTCATAAGACCGTATTCCCTTTATAAGAGTAAGCTTCAATGTGTGAATTTTCTTTTAAAAACAGTCACTGAGTTATTAATAATGTAAATAAGTGTGTGGCCTTCTTTAAAATAGCCAGCCAACATAGGAAGCGCTTATTTTCATAAAGGGAAGCTAAACATAAAAATGAATTATTTAAATTTAACTCTTCACCTGGAAATAATAAAGCTCTTTTTATGAGCTGTCCCACCAGCAACTTACATATGTAAACATACGTATATACACATATGCATGTGTGTGTGTGTAAACGTAAAAGTCCTTTATTATTAAAAAATGTAGTTTTATTAATTTAGAATTTAGTTCTTAAAATCTTGCCCAAAGGTAGACTCTCTTACTTATCTTCTGTCATTTCTTAAATTGACATAGTTTTATATAACTGAACTGAGTACTATTATAGTACCGTAGAAGGCGGATTAACTGAAGCAACTGGAAAGACTGTTAAGCACATACTTTGTTATCTGTTGCAGAAGGGATATATTTGGCAGAACCTGAGGCTACATGTCTGGTAGCTCATTAGATCCAGGAGAGGTTTAATTATAGCCTTTCATTGTACTAATGAAGAACCTGAACTTAGTGAACAGAGTCAAGACTAGAATCTAGGTCTTCGGATCTGGTGTTTTGTGATGATTATAGACTTATTTCCAACCTGAGGTCCCAACAGTACTGTTTGTTTTGTAGCCTAGTTAGACATAGTTGCAGTAATTTAAAGTTACTGTTTTATCTATAAGGGTTTCCTCTCACCTTAATCTTAATAATTGACTCACAACTATATTCTTTTTTCTTATGAGTCCCTAATTATGCCTGCTTTTATTATAATTGTACTTAAATCTGTAAAGCTAGCTGAGGTCCAGAAAGTGTAATTGCTTTTGGATATTTCACATATAAGATTGCCTTATTACACATATTTTAGGAATTATTTTGTGGAAAGTTATATATGAAGAGTTAATTATTAAGCATTCTTTTCATCAATTTAAATGTTTAGTTCCCCCCAGGCATTTTTCCTCCAACTTTATATTTGACTTTCATTGAATTCACAGTTGGTATCATAAAAAAAAAAATTATTCTAATACAATTAGCTAGACCTTCTGAGAAAAATATTAGAATTAAATCCAAGCAGTCAGTATATTTCTTAATTGACTGGTTTTAGCTTATCAGAAAGTTATTGTTTTATGTATTTAAATACATTTACAAAGAAAATGAGGCTTTTAAACAGACCTCAATATTTAACATTGTACCCAGTAGTGGTGAGCATGCTTAGTACCCAAATTTTGGTTCCTAAATGCCATTCCCCACTAACAGGAACCAGGGTTCCTTGGAGAAGTGACTGATTCCGTTTGGAGCAGGGGAAGTGGGTGGTGTGGCTAAAATACTTTTTTTTATTAAGAAAATAAAATGAAAAGCAAGATAGTATTTGAAGACTAATGGGATAATGTCAGAAGGGGACAGGCGCCAAGTCGAAGGTATTCTCACGGGCCAAATTTAGGACAACTTAAAATCAAAAAGAATAATCACTGATATTGCTGATAATGCTAAGAAGGAAAAGAAGTTCATAATGATGACAGTAGAGAAAAAAGAAAACTTGTTATAAAATTATTTGAAGAATGTCTTCTTTTAAATGTACACAGAATGATAGATTTGGAAAAATTACCATTTTACAACCCTTAATGTAATTAAATCTGGCAAAAATCAATGGTAAAACCCATTAGGTGAAAAAAATTTTAAGGAACTTTGTTTACAAGGTGTCAGAAGATCACAGATACCTATTGCAAAAGAATCGCCTTTACAATGAGATTTGGCTGTCAAACTGCATTTCCCTACTTCTGGAATAAGCCAACATGATGTGGCTCTTGATAGGACGCAGTATGAAGCATGTGTGATCATCCTTGATGTACTGCCAAAAATGTTTACCCCAAATTTAATTAAATCTTTTGTCTAGACTTATCTTCCTATTTAAAGAAATACAAGGAGTAGAGGAACAAGTTGAATTACACATTATGGAAATAGACAAGTCCAGAGTTGGTACAGGACAACTGGTCTGGAATTTTTTTTTAAATTTATTTTAAAATGGTTTTCTTAAATGTACTTTTTAAACACAACATGAGAAAGGTGTTAAAACTGGTGTAATAGCTCAAAAGAATAAGTATTCCAGATTTCGGGAGGAATGAAGAGGGAGATATTCAGAAACCTTCACCAGAGTCCCCCTACCTTGATCATAGTGGATTAATGATGTGCTTTGTAGATGTGGTTAGTCAATGACACCAGCTTGACGGATCTTTCTTTCTGCTCCACACCCCATTGAGTTATCTGGTCCCCTTGGCTGATGAAGAACCATTAGGCGAGGAGCACTGGCATCATCCAGGGTGATGTTCTTCAAGGGACTGACCAACCGCTCAGGTCGAGGAGCTGCAACAGCCTTGGGGCCCTCACAGACCCGCCACACATTCCAGGTGTTGCACTTGCCAGTGCGCTGATGAAGAGTCACTGAGAACTCCACCTCATCTCCTGCCTGGAGCTCAAGGCCATCCTCAACTTCATTCACATGGAAAAAGAGCTTCTTGCTATCTCCTACTTCATAGTTAATGAAGCCAAACTGATCTTTCACACATTCCACTGTGGCCCTACGCAGGGGTGTGAGGTTGTAAGCCATAGTTTGTGCATTTTGGCCCTGGTCTGGACTTTTCAAAAAGCAAATGTAATAAAACAAAAAGTGGTCTCTTCTAGATTAAGGCAAGAGAGATAATCGAATGGAAAGTGCGATCCTTTATTAGCTTCTGATTCATTAAAAAAAACCTATAAAAGACATTTGAGGGGCTATTTGGGGAAATAGGAAGATGGAATGGGTATTAGATAAATGTGGTGTGTTTGATTTTTCTAGAAGTGATAATTGAGTTACGTCGGATAATGTTCTAATTCTTAGGAGATGCATGCAGAAGTTTTTTTAAGTTTGAAAAGTCATGATGTTGGCAGCATATTTTCAAATAACGTACAAAATTAGTCAACTTTTTTTGTGGTGGATGTAGAGATGTTCATTGGTCATTTAAAAAATTTTTCTGTGTGTCAATTTTTAATAAAAATTAATGCAAAAAGTGATTGGATAAAGTGATGAATCTTTCAATCAGAATTCTTCATTTATATTCTTAGGAAGTTCCTGTTTAAGAGTTAATCCTCCAGTGATGTAATTGTTGGAAATAAAGTAACTGGGTGGTACTGGGTTCCCTTTAAATGGAATGAGCATGCTCCACTTTCTCTCTCATGCTAAATGTAACTAAGGCATGGAGCAGCTGTCTGGGCACCCTCAAAAGTAATAACAGGCAGATTTGGGAAGGAAACTGGAATTTGAAAGGAGATCATTGTGGCACTCGGGCATTCCTGTGGTGAGGACAGAGATGGCTGAGCAGGCATCTAAACCTCAGTTAAGAACCCTTCACTCTGATTAGAGGATCTCTGGGCCAAAAAGGTTTAGGAGAATCCCCATTGCTTTTCTTCCCTCACTATCTTCCTGCTACTTGGACCTGGAAGTGATGTATCCATGAGGTGTGTAGCAGAGAGGAGAACCTAAACCCTTGGATTTCTAACCTGATGATCAGGAAGAGGAAGTGGCTCCTTAGAGCTGGAAGGTGTCAAGGTGGTGACAAAGATAAGGAAGCTCAAGAAAGTGATCTCATAACAGTTGTTTATGCAATCTGGGGCCCTCCCCTGGTCTATACATATATAGGTCTGATGCAATAATTGTTCAGGTCTGACACTGGGCAAAGAGAGATCCAGATAGCACTGAAAATACCTAGAAAACTGGACTGACATTAGAACCACAGCCCATAGGAGATGGATTGGAACTGGTGACCAAGACTTAATCAGTTAAATTGCCTGCTGGAAAAAATACCCTAACATTTTCTGGAAGAATTGAATACCCAGAGGCCCATAATATTCAAAATGTCCAAGATGCAATGCAGAATCACATGAAATACATAAGTCAGAAAATTTTCAACAATTCAAAGGAAAGACAACAGACACTAACCCCAAGATGACACAGATGTTGGAATTATGAGACAAACACTTTAAAGTAGATATTATAACAATGTTTCAGAAAGTGTGGCCATTCCAGAAATTGATGAAATGTCAAATGTTTCAGTAGGAAAATAGTAATTTGACTCACTTCTAATAAATAGAATATGATAGAAGTGATGTGATGTCACTTAAAATATTTGGTTATGAAAAGGCTATGGCTTTTGCACAGGCATGCGCTCTCTTGAATCACTTGTCCTTTGGGAAGCCAGTTGCCTTATTGTGAGGACACTTAGCCTATGGAGAGTTCCACATAGTAAGTAACTGAAGCCCATGGCCAACAACCAGCAACAAACTGGCCTTCTAGCAACCATGTGAGTGAGCTTAGAAGTGGATCCTCCCTTGCCTGAGCCTTCAAATAGGACTGCAGCCACAGCCAACTACTTGCCCATAACCTCATGTGAGACACTGAGTCAGAAAGACCTAGCTAAACCAGTCACTTCTGGCTTCTTAACCCCCAGAAACTCTGGGTTAGTAAATGTTTTAACTGGTAGGTTTTGGGGTAATTTGTTATGCATCAACAGATAACTGATACAGAACTTGGTACTTGGAGGTGGGCAGCTGCCATAATGAAAACCCAAAATATGGGAGTGGTTTTGGAACTTGGCAGTAGGTGTTAAGTAGGCATGTGCTGGTAAAAAACTAAAGTGCTTTGAAGAAGCGATAGCAGCATCATGGTCTGACAAGGCTGTACATGAGGACTTCTAGAAAACTGGAGGAAGGAAGAACTTCTGTAGTGGCAGACTGAAAGTAAAACATGTGCCTAATATGATCTCACTAGAGAGATTTCCTGGCCGAGTGTTGCAGGTGCCATCTGGCTTCTTGATTATAGTAACATGACGAGAGATTAAAAACCATAGGAAAGACCATCAAGCAAAAAGGATCCAGGGCTTGATGGTTTTGGAAGTAGTCTCATCAAGAGAACAGGATTTGCTAAAATTAAGAAATCACTTCTCAGCAAAGATCAAATGTAGAGAACTCCTTGGAAAACACCCTCCAATGATGAAGCTCATTATAGTGTTTAATGAAAATTAATAAAAAGTTGACAAGGGTGTGGAAAAATTGGAACCTTCACACACTGCTGGTGGGAGTATAAAATGGTGCAGCCCCTTTGGAAAACAGACTGGAATTTACTTCAAAGATTAAATATAGTTACCATGTGACTTAGCAATTCCACTCCTAAATTTATACCCAAGAGAAATGGAAACAAACATTGATATATGTACATGAATGTTCATAGCAGCATTATTGATAATAGAAAGTGGAGACAACCCAATGTTCATCAACCAATGAATGAGCAGGCAAAATCTGGCACATTTGTATAATGAAACGTTGTTTGTCAATAAAAAGAAAACGCTGATAAATGCGACAACATGGATCAACCTTGAAAACGTGCTGAGTGAAGGAAGCCAGTAACAAAGGACCACATATTGGATGGTTCCATTTATATGTGGTTTTTCCGAATCAGCAAATCTGTAGAGACAGAAAGTAGATGATTGATCTCCAAGGGCTTTAGAGGGTTGGAGAAAATGTGGGGTGACTGATAATGGATGTGGAGTTGCTTTTTGGAATAATGAAAATTTTCTAAAATCATTCTAATTATTGCACAACTCCGAATATACTACAAGGGTTTGGATTGTACACTTTATATGGGTGGATTACATGGTATGTGAATTCTATCTCAATTGAGTTTGTTGTAAACAGCCTATTGCAAATGCTTATCTGTTAATGCCAATCTGTAATAAAATTTTATGTGGTTCATCTTTGGAAATGTTCTTTCACACTGATAGCATTGTTGGATGCTGATATCTGTCCATAAGCATATTATTTCAATTGGGCATATCCAGTGCTTAGAAGTCATTTATAGAATTTCGTTAGATTCTTTGGACGTTTGCCTTTCGGCACACTGTTACATTGCAGATTAATCAGAAGAGTTGGGTGGATCCTCCTCAGTTGTACTGTTAAGTGAATTTTGAAATATGTATATTTCTTTTGCATTTGCATTAGGATCTAAAAAATGCTGCTGGAATTGGAGTTTGTGCTCATAATCCATATGTGTGGAAAATATTTGTGAGAAAGGAGATATCACTTCTTATTTTAAACTTGGACAGCATGTCAAATATATAAAGCATTTCACATTACTTGTGATTAAAATATTAGTTGTCATTGAAGTGACTTTGCAGCAGAATAAGCTTTGCATATAAGCTCTGATTTCCCTTGAAATTTAAGGTTGAATTCATTAAGAAACATCAAGTTTGCAGCAAAAGCTAGTTTCTAAAGGCATCCCATGTTTAATAATAGTGTTTGAACAAAGTTCTTCTCATTCAGAAAAATTTCACCCTCAGCCCTGAGCTTAAAAAATTGCAAACTTTATTACTGCTAAGTCATTGAACTGCTGTGTGGCAGAGCTAGTCAGGATATTTGACTTCTATTTCTGGAAAAAAAAAAGTCACAGAGCTAACAATAGTTAAGTCCATAAGAGCAAATGAAGTTCACTTTTGACATTACTTGTTCAATAAGACAGACTTACTTATTTCCTGCATACTACCTGCTGATGAATAACTGCAGGTTTTAAACACCTTAAACTTTTGCATGCTTTGTAAACTTGTCTAACCAAGCCTTGGAAAAAGTTCTTTAGGCCAGGCACAGTGGCTCATGCCTGTAATCCCAGCACTTTGGGAGGCCAAGGCGGGTGGATCACTTGAGGTCAGGAGTTCAAGACCAGCCTGGCCAACATGGCAAAACCCCGTCTCTACTAAAAATACAAAAATTAGTTGGGCATGGTGGCATGTGCCTGTAATCCCAGCTACTCAGGTGGCTGAGGCATGAGAATCCCTGAAACCCAGGAGGCGGATGTTGCAGTGAGCCGAGATCATGCCACTGCACTCCGGCCTGGGCGACAAGACTGTGTCTCAAAAAAAAAAAAAAGTTTTTTACGTATTTTTACTACCAGCAGTTGGAACACATTTTTACAGATTTCACTTCGGGTTTACCAAATTAGTATTTTCTTTGAAAATATTCTTGCTTGTAGTTGGTTCCACACAATCTATTTATAGAGGCCAATTACTAAGTAATTTCAAATGATATTAACTCATCAAATCAACAAGAACTGAGCAGTATCACTAACATCATTGACTCATCAAGAGCCAAGGAAAACCACTTAAAATCATTTGCCATGTTATTTGACTATTGACATCGCTTGCTGTGTCCTCAACTCTTCAAATGACTAATGTCACTGGTCTGAAAGTGCCTCCAGATAGAAAGTCAGGAGTATTGAGGGCTCACTTTTGTTTCCCTTCACTTGGGGACTAGAGTTCTGTATTGCACGTTGTTCATTATCTGGAAAAAAAATATTTTTTCTAGATGTAGGGTTTCTTTTTCTTGGATAGGCTAGTCTAGTAACAGTTTCTCAATCATGGGTGGTAGTGTACATATGCAGAAATAATCCTTAAATTACAATTTTGATAAATGCTATTAAGGAAAACTACAGACTATGGTAAGAGCATTCAGTAGAGATGTATCTACCCCAGAGCATGGTGTGAGGTCAGAGTGTGCTTTTGTGAGTAAGTAGCATCAGGCGGAGACCTTGGGGCAGTTGAGAAACAGGACTTGTTGCAGGCAGACAGAAGAGCACATGAGACCGTGCTGTTCCTTTTTTCCCGTCCTTTTTCACCTTTGCATTCCAGTTCCTACAGACCTATCTTCAGGCTCACGGATCCGTTCTTTGGCTCTGTCTAGTCTACTGATGAGCCCACCAAAGGCATTCTTCTTTGTTAGCATTTTTCATTTCCAGGATTTTCTTTTCTTTTTTAGAGCTTCCATTTCTCTTTTTATATTACCCATCAATTCTTGCATGTTGTCTATGTATTCCATTACAGCCCTTAATATATTATTGTTATTTTAACTTCTCCATCTGATAACTCCAAAATCTGTGTCATAGCTGAGTCTGATTCAGATGCTTGCTTTATCTCTTCAGACTGTATTTTTTTCTTGCCTTTTAGCATGTTGTGTAATTTTTTGTTGAAAGCTGAGCATGCTGTATCTGGTAATAGGAACTGAGGTAATCAGACTTTTACTGCGAGCTTT